ACGGTTGCAATTGTGCTTGCATGGCCTGGATGGTTTGGGCCAGCTGTTCATGGCCGGTTTTGCTCCCTTGTTGACGTTAGGGGGCTTGTTGGGGCGACAGGTTCTTCCGTGCTGCCGAACTGTAGCTCATGTTCGTTCTTGGCTGTGGCTTTGCTGGAAAGCTGGGAAAATTTTGAAACCAAAGCTGCTTTCTGGGGACTCAACGATCATTCACGTTACTCACCAATAAAAAATTGTGATTTTGGAATATAATACAATCTAGCATTGGCAGAAATTAACATTTCCAACGAAAGCAGAGTAGAGCAGACTAGAGCTTTATTAAATAGGGGCAGAACAGTTCATTCAGTATTTAAGATGCCACTAAACATTCAAAATAACCCAGAGGCAGTGTGCAACCTAAAAAAACAATCGCGCATCGCCACAGTGCTTAAACATTGTAAAATTATCATCCGAGATGAATGCACTATGGCACACAAACATTCGCTTGACGCGTTGAAAAGGTCGTTGAGAGATCTTAAAAACGACGACAAACTATTTGGCGGCATTCTGGCACACAAGTCTTAAGCCGGCTACTAACTACGAGGAACTTCTTGACAAGTACTTGCGAAGTATTTGGCAAGTAGTATGTACGGCGACTCGCACTGACTTGGACAAGTACTTGCAGTTCCCATCGGTTGTCGGTAAACAGGTCCAAGTCAAAGGGGAGTCGATTATTTCCGAGTTTGTTTTGCCTGCGCTACACTACGCGGACTTTACTTGACGAGGTTCCGTGTTATTATTTATATGGCGGCGGATTTGTGTATTTAAATCATCTTGAAATGGCGTGGAAAATGAGTTAACTTTTAAGTTTCTTGATATTTATCGGAAGGAACTTGTCATTTGGGACCCATCACATAACCAGCATAAAAGTAGAAATTATGTCTACGATGCCGGGAAACGAATTCAAACCGAGTTTGTCACAGAATGTGACACAAAAGTGGTGCTGGTTTGAATGATGTCTATATCCCACACTGATTTGCTTTTCAAAAAATGGCAGGTTCTTTAACCCTGGAGTAGTCGCGGTAGGTCTGACAGACTCCGCGCTCCGAACTTCCTCGGTTATTCTCTCATTTGTTCCCCCACCACTTAACGCATCTATGTAGCTTATCGATTTGTTAGGTAGTTCGATGTGCCAAGTGATTGTGGAGGGTCGTGAAACTCTTTACCGGTCAACCGTCATCTCGAGTCTCCTAGACTTCACGCGACTACTTGTGTTTTACTTGTTTCATGTGATTACTGGTAAGAAGGTATATTTTCTGCTGTGACACATCATAATAATTATTAATTTCTAGTTGAAAATGGACTATGAAAAGGAGCAGCCAAGATTGATGCGTCTCTGGGAAGAAGTTGACTCTGATGAAGCGCCAATTGATAAAGATTCAGATCAAGATGAGGATGTTGTGGAATCTGAAGACAGTGATACCGTTCAAGAAGATGACTCCTCCGACGATGACAGAAGAACACCAGCAAAAATTCCTAGAGCTACGTTTTATTTGGGCAAAAACAATACCACAAAATAACACAAGCATGCTCCAAATCAGGCAGGGAAAACTCGATCCTGGAATATAATAAGTCAGCTTCCTGGTACAAGAGGTATTGCTAAACAAGCAAAAAGTTCTTTCGAGTGCTAGAATCTCTTCATCAACGATGAAATACTATTATTGTAGAACATACAAATTTCTAAATAGCAAAAAAAACTCAGAATTACAAAAGAGATAGGGACTGCAAGGAAACAGATAAAATTGAAATAAAAGCCCTTATTGGTTTACTGTACTTTTCAGGGTTACTGAATAAGAAGTTTAGCGTTAGCGAGATGTGGGACAGAAAAGAAACCGGAGTAGAAATATTCTGGCTCACAATGAGCAAGCAACGATTTCTATTTCTCTTGAAGCATTTACGTTTTGACGATCGTACTACAAGAGAAGAGAGAAATAAAACAGATAAACTAGCGCCGATTCGAGAAGTTTTTGATATATTTGCGGTGCAGAACAGCAGGAGATCCACATGGGCCTTGTAGGCTCTCCGAAAGCGTCCAGGAGGACAGAAAACCCGCAGAAAATTGTGATTGATGGCTTGAAAACCATCACCAGTAAGGCTTTTACGCTAAGTACACGAAGGCATCACTAATCGTGTACTGCAGCACCATCTGGGACTGGGCGGTGGTAAAAAGGTCCCTCGAGGAGAATAACAGCCAGTCCATTCCTACGCCCCCTCGACGGAAAACACACGCGTTCGTCCTGAGGGGGTTAGACGGGAATGTCGAACGGGGTGCGATCAAGGAGAATCTGGCGCACAAAGGTCTGGAGGTGAGGAGTGTGGAAAGCTGAACGCCGAGGCGAGGATGGTGTGATGGTGTCAGGGTTTCGCGAGAAACCCGCAAGAACCAGAAGACCCTCACACAGTGTCGCCGGTACCAGGGCTAGGGCAATGTCTCCGGAATGTGCCGCCGGGACTTTAAATGCTCTCGATGCGCCGGGGGGGCATGAAATCACCGCCTACCCCGCTGGATCAGTCCTAAAGTGCGCCAACTCGGGTGGGCCTCATCGTAACTTTGACGAGGCCTGCCCAGTCTACCTGCGGCCATGCTGCCCCCGCCACCGCCTTTACTGACGCAGTTTCCTCCGCTGAGGCAGCACAAATCTGTCCCGACGAGCTCCGCCCATCCAGCCCATGGTATAAATTGAAACGCGGTAGATAT